TTGACGTTGTCAAGCTCCAGGAGACACGAACGGTGGGCACTGTTCGCTTCACAGGGTATCACGTGTTCATGCTGCCACAAACACCTGGCAAAAGAGGCCTGATCACCCTTGTCAAAGCAACAACCCCCTGCTCCGCAATAGCCGATGCACCGCACTGTGGAGACGAGACAGAATCTCTCGCCGTAGAGATCCACCTGGCCGGGGGACCCCTCAAACTGTACAACGTGTACAACTGGCCAGGCTGTAGTAGCTTTGATATTAGCCAGGTCTGTGCGTCTGCTGCACAAGACCGAGTGGTCATTGGGGGAGACTTCAATGCACATCATCCCATCCTGGCTCCCTGCCGGGGACCGGATGCGGCTGGCCGTCACATAGCCAGCGTGCTTGAGACGTTCCCCGAGATCGCTCTCCTCAACACCCGAGAGCCAACGCATGTCGGCGGTGGGGTACTAGACCTCACCCTGGTCACTGCGACTCTGGTGGACAGGATTAGCTGGTGTGTTGATGAGACTGTCACAAGCGACCATTACGGCACGGTAACCACACTCATGGACGCAGGCCCAACCGAAATCCCACGACCAAATCAAAGATGGAAAACTGACAAGGCCAACTGGCAGGCGTTTCAGAATGCCTTGGCTCACTGTCTGAGGCAATGAATCCACACAAGCCGAAAACGTGGATGTGCTGGAAGCCAGACTGGTAGAAGCCATAAATCAAACAGCCTCACTGACCATACCCAGAACTCGGCCCGGGTCCAGGCGTCACAAGGACGCCTGGTACTTTAACGACGAGATCAGGGAGGTCAACCACAGGGTGAACATGTGCCGAAAACTCTTCCGAAGGCAAAGAACCCCCGACAACCTCGCACTGCTGAGGGAGGCTGTCAGGGATGCCAAGGAAACTGCCAACAGAGTCAGGCAGGAGACGTGGTTGGAATGGTGAGTCCCTCGATCACCAAACCACCATCTCAGAGCTGTGGCAACGGGTCAGGCGAGCTACCAGCTGCTCAGCCCCGAGACGAACGCACTACGACCCTCAAGCAGAGCCAAACAGACTGGTGCTCGAGTTCTCCGAGAGAACAAGCAGCAACAGTCTACCAGCTGAGCTGAGGGCCAAACAAGAAAGCCTGAAAGCAGACAGACTTGCTCAGATCAGAGAAAGGGCAGCCGAAGCCGATAACTCAGACGTTATCTTTTCTCTGAGGGAACTTCGAAAAGCCTACAAGTTCAGCTCCAATACAGCCCCGGGTTCTGATGGGATCACGTATCCCATTATCTCCCGCCTAGGATGAGAAGGTGAACTTCCACTCTTGCAACTCATCAACAAGTCCTGGGAATCTTCCTCTCTACCGCAGAGCTGGAAGAGGGCTACCATAGTTCCCATCCTAAAACCCAAGGAGCCGGGGAATTACCGCCCCATCTCTCTCCTAAGACAGCCGAGAGGATGGTACTGAACCGGCTCCTGTGGAAAATGGGACCCCCGCACGAACACCTGCACTGGTTCACCAGGGGAATGAGCACTGCACACAGCATAGCCACGCTCTTGAGCACAGTCAGCACAACCTCAGCCATGGTAGTATTCCTCGACCTGGAAAAAGCCTTTGAACTAGCAAGCCCTCTTGCTATTCAGGAGTCCCTGGCCCAGAAGGGAATCAGAAGAAAGCTCTTGGCTTGGATAGGTGACTACTTTAGGAACAGAACAGCCAGAGTAAAGTTCCAGGCTCACCTATCGCAGCACTTGCCACTGGAAAATGGGACACCACAGGGTGGGATTCTCAGTCCAACCCTATTTAACGTACTTATGTCCTGTATCCTCAACATAAACCTCCCGACGGGGTGCAAGATCGTCTCTTATGCAGACGATCTTGCCATCACCGCCATTGGGACACAATGCCTAAGTAGAGCCCAGCGTTGTCTGGACCTTGTGTCTGAGGAGTGTTGCAGGACAGGATTTAAGATCTCAGCAGCCAAATCTAAGGCCATGGCTCTGGGAAAGCGAGTTCAAGGCACTAGTCTGAAAATCCAGGGAGTAGACTTGGAATGGGTCCCGGTGTTCCAATACCTTGGGGTATGGGTAGACCGGACCCTCTCCTTCCGGCAGGAGACCAAGTACCTGGTCGACCGATGCAAAGCAAGACTGAGCGTCATGAGAGCAATGACTGGGAAACACATAGGAGCTAGACACAAAGTACTAAGAGCCTTCTATGTACATGCTGTCAGGCCCATTGTGGATTACGCCTCAGTCGCCCTAATTGGCAGAAAGAAAAAATACAGAGAAAAATTGGAAACAGTCCAAAATGAAGCTGTCAGAATCATTCTGAGTGCCCCGAGGTGGTCAAAGGTCCACAACCTCCTGATGGAGGTCAACCTTTCCCCCCGGACTCACGAATCGATCAAATGGCAGCCAATTTCTTTGCAAATGTCATCCAGGCTCCCAGGAACACGAGCCTAAGAGAAAAAATAGTCAGACGCCTGGAACAAGACAACAAGCTCTTTGCCAA